TTTTTTTTTTTTCATTTCCCATTCATCAATTTCTAATTCCACGTTTTACATATCTATATATTTATACACTCCGAATGGAAATTTCTAGAAATCTAAAAATTTAAACAATCGTAATAAATATTTTTCCGATTTAAAAAAAAAAAAAAAAAAAAATTCTTTTCCTTATATAAATCAAGGTAGAAAGTTGAACGAACAAAAAAAAAAAAAAACCGGTTACGGAGAGACAGAGAGAGAGAGAGAGAGAGAAAGAATCGTACGTTTTCTAATTTTAACATGATAAAAATCACCCACCCGAAAATACAAAAAGAAAAGAATTCTATACTACTTACACGACAGTCGTGTAAATAGAAAATAAACAAACGACACTCGAATATAATTAATTATTACGAACCCCCCCGAACAACCATCACCAATTAAGGTTAATATATATATAAAATAACATAAGGAAATGTTTTTTACGACAAGTTTAATGAATTTTTTTTTTTTTTTTAAGCCATATTTGAAAAAAAGAGGAAGAAAGAGGAAGGGAGAGAGAGACAAAGAGAGAGAGAGAGAGAGAAAACACCAAAATTTATTTTTTTTTATTGTTTTTTAAACGATCGCCGCCTATTCCTCCTCCTACGCGTTTTTACAAATGTGTCCTAATGAATTTAGTCAAAAACGGAAACGAAACCTTTTCATCCTTTCACAAAGGATTTGAAACCTTTTGGAAATGGAGACAAAAAAAAAAAGAAGAAGAATAAAAAAGGAAAAGGACAAACAGAGGAAGGTAAATGTTTTTTTTTTTTTTTTTTTCCTATCGAACCTTTTTCATTCGTTTTGAAATTCTCTTATCGGCGAAACCTTTTCCCACGATTAAAATACATTATTTATAACTCTTTAGTCATCGCCTTATCCTTATCAAATCCTTTTACACGACGTCAAAACTTTAAAAAAAGGTACAATCGAGGTGTGTAAATAAACGAAATCAGGGGAAAAATGAAAAAAGGTTTTTTCTTTTGAGATTAACCAAATTCTTCATCTGCACATTCGACAATTTCAAAAAAAAAGTTGATTTCACTTGCGGGTCTGCTGCCACGACAACACGCGTTTCGTAATTTCTTGTTCGCCGAGCGTTCGGTTCTTGCATAACAACATATACGTTTTTTTTTTTTTTTTTTCAGTCAACTGTAATCTTTACTTTTTTCAATTTTGTTTCCCTTATTCCATCTTTCTCACACACTCTCTCTCTCTCTCTCTCCCTAATTCTCCTTCTTTTCTCCTTGCAACTTAACGTGAATGATACAAACGAAAGGAAACAAAACAAAGCAAAAAAAAAAAAAAATTTAAAGAAAATATTTTTTTAAATTCGATTTAGAGGATTAAAACACACACGCACACACGCACAACACGATTCGACACGCAAACGTCAAAGAATAATTTACAATGACCAGTTTCCCTCTCGAAAGGGGAGAAGGAAGAAGGGGGAATGGGGAAACAAAACCTTTCACAATAAAAGTCTTTTGCCTTTTCAACATAACATTATTAATTTCCTTTTTCTTCGTTCCCTTCTTTTCGTTTTCTTTTTTTTTTCTTTTTTTTTCTTCTCGTACGTGTTTTACGAAACGTCCGATGGCTTGACTACTCTTTCTTCTTCTTCTTCTTCTTCTTATCATCATTATTATTATTATAACATAATCCTTCGATTCATAACGTTTGTTATAAATTAATCTTATTAAAATAACAAACACCTACGACGAGGTCCCCCCTCTTTCCCTCTCTTCCTCTCCCACTCCCACTCCCACCGCACATTCAAACCCATATAAAATGCAAACTATAACTTGTTGGGAATACAAACGAGCTGTCGCGCACTCACACACATACAGGCAGAATAAAAATAAAAATAAAATTTAATTAGCGTTTTACCGAGGCGACAAATCCGGAGTCGGGAAACAAAATAAAATAAAAAAAATGAGGGTAGTCATACGTAAAATGAAATTATTACCACGAAGGACATTTATTCGATACCACCGCCACCACCACCACCACTACCACCATCATCAGTATCGCCGATGATGATGATGATGATGACGCCGCCGCCATCATACCTGCCGTCTTTTACTCAACACTCATAATGCGATCGTAATAAAACTAAGAAAAAAAAAAAAAAAAAAGGTGGCACGTCTCGACTACCACATAATAACAACTTTCCATTTCTCAAGATTGGGGAGGTAGAAGGAGACAAATATACAAAAAGGGAAAGAGAAAGAGAGAGAGAGAAAGAATAAAACACCTGCATCTGTTTTTTTTTTTTTTTTTTTCAACTGGTAAATAATCCCTCTAAAAAAAAAAAAAAAAATTATTTCTGTCAGGTATTTCGAGGTATACGACGACCATTATCGAATAATTAACGCGTCGAAACGAAAAAATTCTCTCTCTCTCTCTCTCACTCTTGCACGTTTAAGTTTAACGCATGCGATATGACATGAACCATTGTTTTCATTCGGTAATACCTAAAATTTCTGAATCGAAACGAAAGGAAAACGAAAAAAAAACAGCTATAATAATAATAATAATAATGATGATGATAATGATGATGATAATGATGATGACAATGATGATGATGATGATGATAATGATGATGATGATGATAATGATAACACCAAATTTTTCAAATGCAATCGTTATTAGATAACTTTTGTTTTTCAACATTCAAACCGATCGAAAAAAATAGAAAAAAAAAAGAAATTCTCGTTGACATTTATAGATTTCTATATATAGTTACCACAACGTATGAGGCAACCCAAGAGAGAGAGAGAGAGAGAGAGAGAACATTTCTATTTATAAATACAAATTTATTATTTGTACGAATCGATTTATCGAATAAGAAACAACAATGAAAATTATTATTATTATTATTCTCACGTTAGTAAATAAATGATAAATGATAAGAAAATTAATACGACAAGAGCCTAAAAAAAAAATCACGTTTGAGAGAGAGAGAAAAAATAATAACGATCGCGCCTTAAAAAAAATCAATTCCCGAACGTATTTTTACCGGGTAATATTATTATCATCCCCTTCATCCCCTTCGAATCGTCATCTACATTTTCTTCTGCTTTTCTTCGAATAGTATAAAAAAAAAAATATATTAAAAATAAACGAATCGAAACAACCCTCTCTCTCTCTTTCTCACTCGTGCACGTACGTTTACGGAATCGTAAGACGACAAACGATCGAATGTGAATCCGCGGGATTTAAATCTTTTTCTAAAAAAAAAACCAAAACCTCCTCGTCGGTTGTCTGGAAAGAAAGAGAAAGAGAGAGAGTGAAAGAGAGGAAAAAAAAGGAAATACAAACGCAAAATCGTTTTAGGGAGGAAAAAACAAAAAAAAAACCCAAGGATTCGAATTTAAACGAAAGTCTTTTTAAACGTCTCTCTCTCTCTCTCTCACTCACTCCGACTAGAAGGTCAAGGAAAAAACTTCCATTATTAAGACCTCGTTGAGCAAGGTTAGGGTTGAATGCGAGGGTGAGCGAGAGAGAGAAAGAGAAAGAAAGAGATTCCCGATGATGACGTAACGTCATAGAGGATTTTATATTTCCATAAGGGATGGTTATTATTACTCTCTCTCCCTCTCTCATTCTATCTTCGTCATCGTTTCGTTTCGTTTTTTTCATAATCCATTAAAGGTAAATTTCGAGGGTTTGTTTGTACGTGAAATTTTACCGTGGCAGGTGAACAACAACAACAACAACAACATTTTTTCTCTTTCTCTCTCTCTCTGACACGTGCTACAAATCACGTTTTAATAATAATATTATTATTAATTTTTTTTTTTTTTACGTTTTCGAAAAATAAATTTGTCACTACCACCACCACCACCAAACTTTCCTCCCCCCTCTCCCCATTCTTAAAACCAATATCGTGATAATACAGTTTCCCTAACCCAAAAATAATGATGATAATGATATTATAACAAATGACAAAAACATCTTCATTTACGTTCATCATCTCATTAAAAACAATGATGAAATATATTTTTACCGAACAAATTCAAGGAGGTAGAGAGGGGGAGGGGGGAGGGGAGGGGAAAAAAGTACAATTCGATTTCCAAGAACAAACGAATCTCTTATACGTTCTTTTTTTTTTTTCGTTACACAATAACCTACGGTACATTAATTTTTCGGAAGGTCAAACTAATGACGTCCAATTACAATTTAAAATTGTACGAGATTATCTTTCGTACGGTTTAATAGTGTGTGTGTGCGTGTGTGTGAGAGAGAGAGAGATAAATGTAAAAGGAAGAGTCAATGAAGTTGTTGATGTTGTTTTTGTTGTTGTTGATTGTATGGTTTGCGTGGAAATTGATGACCGTAATTTTACAGGTATACCAAGAGAGGGAGTGAGGGAGGGTTATATAACCACAGTTGAGCATACAAAACAAAAAAAAAAAAAAAAAAATTAAATGATTGTCTTTTGACCGGTTGTTGTTGTTGTTGTTGTTGTTCTGTTCGTAACTTCCTACGAAAACGTCAACATTTAGAAATTTCCAATCTTTTTTTCTACTTTTTTTTTTTTTTTTGGCGATAACACACGACTTTGCCTGAAATGAAGAAATCTTTTTCTTCTTCTTCCACTTCTTCTTCAAGACAATGCACCATTGTTTTATGTTTGTTTGGTGGAAACAACTTAATCATAAACAAACATTTACGGCTAATTAATTATTCACCGACGAATCACGAACGTTATGGTTGAAAAACAATTTGGCAACAATTAACATCAAAGAGGGAAATAAAAACAATAAAAAATCCGCCATTTCCCCCCCCCTTCGTTCTTTCGTTCTCATCGAACGCGATAAATAATATCCGTAATAATAATAATAATAATAATAATAACAACAACAACAACAAAACATCGACGACGACGACGAGGACGAGGATGTCGCACAACTATTGCCTCTTCCCTCGTAGTAGTAGTAGTAATAATAATAATAATAATAATAAAAATATATTCTTACCTTGATGTGATAAGAATTAAGTTTGTGCTTGGGCAGCAAATTAAAACTACTAAAATCTTGTCGTCTTGAAAATATTCCATTTCCGGCCAAACCGTTTCTGAAACAAAAATGGAAAAAATCAATTATTATTATTATTATCGGTTAAAATTAAAAATTTTAATCATTTGAATTATAGTATTGAGCCATCACCACTTTTTGTTACCCGAGAGGAGTGAAGAAGGAAGAAGGATAGGGTAGGGGAAGGTAAGGGGGAAGATAGAGGATTCCCGGTTACTGATTGCGTAGTGGTAACGCCTTTATTTCATACAAGATACATACACACGCACACGCACACACACACACACACACAATATTCATATATAATAATATTACTGAACCGTAATAACTGTCTGTCAAGTAAGTAACTCACCCAAAAACCGTATTCAACTTACTCATGTGTGTTTCTTTTGACATGCTTCAAGTTTCACTTTCTTAAATTTAACCAACTTCCGCACCGTTACTCTAAATTTCTCTCTCTCTCTCTCTCTAAATCGTTTTCCTTTTTTTTCATTTCTATTAATTATGTAAACAATGACTTTAGAACGTATCGAACAAAAAAAAAATATTTCGCAACTTATACTCTCTTGCGACGGATGCGAAGGGATTAAGGACACCAGAGATTGGTTTTAAATTGTTCGCAATTATACGGGAAGGACGGGGAAGAGGAGAAGGGAAGGAAAATTCCAGACGAAAATAATAACATATACGTATGTACATGTATGAACAAAGTCACGATCTAAGAAAAAGCCACAAATAATAATAATAATAAAATAGCAAAAGAGATATGATCTAAGAGTTTGAGCGAGTGACTGGAGTCCTTGAAAATTGCGGTAGGAAAATAAAACAAAGGTAAAATATATATATGGGTCACTTAATATACATCATATTCGTGGAAGCGAAACGGACGGATGGACGAACAACCAACAAACAAACAAACAAACAAACGGACAGACGGACGGATGGTAAAGTTGTAATTGCGCAGTTGCAAACCATTTAATTGAAAAAAAAAAAAAAAAAACAATGATCGTTTTATTTTCTAACTGGACTATGTATAGGACTTCCTTCCGTTCTAAATTTATTTTAATTAAGGTGCACCTACTTATCTACCGACCTACCTACCTACCCATCTACCTGTCTCTTGGCCGTTTCTTATCATTATTATTATTTAACACACGGTTTTTTAATGGTACGCAACATAAAATTCAAGGATAACTTGTTGATGATGCACCAAATGTTTTTCCTCATTACATCATCGTTTCCATTCCCACTTCCCGCCTCCTTCCCTCCTTCCCTCCCCCCAAGAAAATCTTTTTCCTTTCCCATATCTTTATTCGGTCAAAGCTGACACGAATTTAAAAACTCGGTTACAAAACAACTACGTAAACCTACTACTACTACTTTCCAGAAAGAAATAGAAAAGCTCGTCTACTTTACGATTTTACCACCCTTTTTTTTAAAAATCAGGTACTAAACGATTTGACGAAAGCGAGAGGGGGGGGAAACAAGATGGAGGAAGACAAATTATCAAGTAGCATGACTTAAAACAATTAACCTAATTTTTTTTTTTTCTATCCCGTTCCGGTCGTGAACAAACGTCACAAAACAAAAAAATCTCATGTAATAATAATTTTGCCAAATTTAAAAACTCTCGAAATTCGGACACTCGCGACCTTGGACCGACTTCTCATAAAACAACAACAACAAACAAACAAACAAAAACAAAAAAATTCATCGAATTAATATTATTATTATTATTATTATTATTCAAGACGTGAAGTTAGTCATACGTGAAGAGATAAACATCATCATGGTCGTGTCATAAGACTACACGCACACAAACACGCAATACTTTTAGCGGTACCAAACTTACACGCGATTCTTCTTCTTCTTTTTCTCGTCGCACCTTCGTCAACTTTTTATACATTTTTTTTTTTTTTTTTTTTTGTGCGACAATCAATCAATGACGGATTTTATTATTGTCGCCGGTTTACAATACAGAATTTCTTTTCACGGCGACAACTTTTTCGGCAAATAAAAAAAAAAAAAATTCATCGTCATCGTAGCCGGTCTTAATTTTTCACGAGATTATTATTATTACTATTAATAATAAACGATTACGTAATTTTCTTTTTTCTTTCTTAACACTTTCACGGTAATTTTAATCAATTAAAGTTACACGAAAAAAAATATTTATTTAGAAATCACGAATAAAATAATAATAATAATAATAATAATACAATGACTGACTTTTCTTTTTTTGCTTTTTGTTTTTGTGGGAGCCATTTTTTTATAAAAAATTTTAAATTTGCAACGGTCACCGATGGCAAGGGCCGCGAGTACGTACACATACATACTTTTTCTTTTTGCACGAACGATTTAAACGTTTTCGACATTATTACGTCACAGGTATACACATATATATAAATTACGTAAAAACTCGTACGGGTTTCATTTATTCGCGGTCCGAAATTATTTCGAGACCACGTGGTTCGATACCTCCCTCGGGAATGTATATTGCGGCGGTTTACTTTTACTTCCCCCCCTTTTATCCTTTTCTTTCAACCTGGTGAAATTTTCAACCTTTACCGGGAGAAAAAAAAAAAAAAAATTTGATTGGTTCAAGTCCCCCCCCCGCGTTCTCCCCACTCAATCTCTCGACTCATATCATTATCATTATTATTATTATTATTATTCCCATGCGAATCGTAACAGGTTTTTTTTCGTTCCTTTCCTTTTTAAAACAATAATAAACAGGATAACTTCGGCCGGTCGGATAAGAGGATAAATGTATATTTAGAATGAAATAATTTCGAAGTTACGCCATTTTTAAACGGAACTATACGATTTTAAATTCGGTCATAAGTTCAACGTGAGCGCAACAGTTTGTTTACGTTTTTTTTTTATATTTTTTCCTTTTCTCTCTCTCTCTCTCACTCTCTTAAAAGTTATTTTTAGATGGTTGGATTTTCAAGGTTAAAACACGGTCTCACAACGCATTTTGGTCAAAATGTTAGCATCATCATCATCATCGTCATTTCAATCGTCATCGTCGCGACTTTTTCCTTACATTTAATAATAAAAAAAAAAAAAGAAAAATTTTCGTGAAAAAATACACACACACACACACAAACGAAAGAACGTGGCACGAGAAAGAGAAAAAACTTGCCGTTGAAATACGATATTTAATTAATCGTTTTTTTTTTTTTTTCATTTTTTTTTTCTGTGTAGAAATTCCTGAACCGAGAGAGAGAGAGAGAGAGAGAGAGAGAAAAAAATGTCGTGTCAATAAAAAAAAAAAAAATTTTTTTATTTTCGTTTATATGATTTCCGTTTGATTTTTTTTTAAAATCCCATTCGAAAAAAAAAATAACAAAACAAGGCGGTGGAATTAGAACTAAATAACGGAGCCATTTAATTTTTGACTTTTCTTCCTCCAATCGATCGAACTGGATTAAAAAAAAAAAATAATAATAATAAACGAGGGTGGTTTCATAACTTGCTACTATTCCGAAACATTAACTACTACCGAGTAGCAGAAGGAACAACAACAACCAAAACAATTCTAAAAAGGAGTGGAAAGGAAAAAGAAAAAAAAAACAATTACGTGTCTTTGGCTACGTCACTGTCACACATTTTGTTAAAAAAAAAAAAAAAACAAAGTTTCTAGTTACACGATTAAATCACGATTTAACCCAATAGTACCTCTCCCTCTCTCTTCCTCTTTTTCTTTCTCTCTCTATGGCTACCTATTTTTCCGCTGTCATAAGCAAAAGGCACGGATCATTTAACTCTCCTTGTTATTATTATTGCGGTCAAGCACGTTTTTTCATCTCTCTCTTTCTCTCTCTTCCCTCTCTCTCATATGCAAAAATATTATTATTATACCCCTCTCTCTCTCTCCTCATTTCCCGCCGTTCTTTGCCTTTTTTCCAGCGAAAAGGTTATACTGTCAGGTTATTTCAACGTTTTTTTTTTTTTGTAAGATCACGTTTCCATTTGTTTTTATTATTATTATTTTTTTCCCCTTTTTCTCTATTCGATTTTTGCTTAATTACACATTCTTTTCGAATTTTTCTATTGCAAATTGAATTTTAAATTACTAATAATAATAATAATAATAATAATAATTACGTAGTACGACGACGTTTTTATTATAATCGTGAAACGAACGAACGAACGACCGAACGTTTGACGTTCAATATAAAAAACACACACACACACTTGCTGCTGTATATATTACACAACAACATTTCTTATCTGCATAAAACAATTTATTATCATTATTATTATTATTATCATTATTATTTTTCTTCCCATTACATTCTCGTCAACATTTTAACTTTACAAGTTTTTAAGAAAAAAATAAATAAATAATTTATTTATAATATGTAATAAACAATTTTCGAACACGTGCGTTTTGTTTTTGTTTTGTAATTAACAAAATAATAATAATAATAAATGATTTTTTTTATGTTTCGTTATTAAATACCATCATCATCATTACGAAAAGAAAAAAGAAGAGAAACAACAACAACAATAACAACCATAACAATCAAACGAAATAAAATACAATTGAAAATATTCGAGTTTTAAAAAGAGTAGAGTATATATATATATAATCGTGAACTCTTTCAAACACGGTTGTTAAAAAATATTAATCGGTGCCTAAGGAGGTGAGAGAGAGAGAGAGAGAGAGAGAGAGAGAAAAATCCAGAGAAAATATTATTATTGGTCGACCGGTTCGCACTCACGCATGCACGCACACACACACACACACACACCCAACCTGACGACGACGATGACGACGACGACGACTTATTTGGTAAACGAGAGAGAGAGAGAGAGAGAGAGACGAGGCACGCACACGCACACGTAAGAGCACACGTGAAAACTCGATTGTTAAATGCATTTAGAAAAGAAAAAAAAAACATCGAACGATTCTGTCGGCGAATGTACATCAACGTCCTCTCCTATTGCGAAATATACCCGGCAAACCGGTCGGTCGGTTGATCGGTCGGTAAATTTCAGGTGCGAACCTGACTGAGTAAACAATTTAAAATTTTTTCTTTTTATTATTATTATTATTATTATTATTATTTTGATTTCAACGAACGTTGTGTGATGAGAAAAACAAACGACAAACGACACAAAATAAAATAAAACAACTCGCACACGATATTCGAAACCGTAAATGAAAAAATTCTTTTTTAAAAAAAAAAAAAAAAAAAAATTAAACAACATCGACATCTTTCGCGTTCGGATTTCTCTCTCTTTTTTTCTCATACGAACGTTCGAGTTTCCGTTCGTCATCGGAAATTATTACGGAAAAACAAATAACGACGAAGATAATAATAATTCAAAAACTAAAATTTTCCACGTGGCGCTAAGTAGAGTTACGTCACGAATGATTTTAAAAGGCAAACAATCGGTTTTAAGAAGGCTAAAATGTCCGGGGAACCCCCCACACCTCCCCCAAAAAAAAACCCATATTCCAGAAAACCTATTCTAACATTCCAGAAAAGAAAAAAAATAAAATTAAAGTGTCTTTGGAAAATTTTCGTAAACTTCTCTTACTGTTAACAATACCTAATCTTCCTCATTAACATTATTATTATCATCATCATCATTATTATTATTATTATCATTATTATTATCCGAACGTTAAAATTTTTCAACAGGTTTAAAATATTTTATTAACATTTTACGCACGCGCACGAACCCGCATCATCATCGTCATGGACCAACACCACCATCACCACCAATCCGAGATTTCTTTTTTTTTTTTTTTTTTAAATTTTGGCGCGTAAATAATTTCCGCATTTTTATAAAAAGCGCGTGTGTGCGTGAGAAAGAGAGAGAGAGAGAAATGATTTAAAAAAAAATTTCTCATTTTCAATATTGAGGTCAAAAATGGCGCGAAGAAAACCGAAAATCGAAAAAAAAAAAATCTGATTTTTTCGGTTTTGTCGTTTGTTGTTTCCAAGTCTTCGGGGTCAACGAATTCTAAGGCCCAATTTTCTTCGCGTCTCGTAGAGGCAATTTGCCAATTAGCGTATTTAACATTTTCACTTTTTTTTTTTTTTTTTCTGATAAAGATACATAAAATCACGCTTTCTTATTCTTTGATAACATTCATTGAATACAAACAACACAAAATGAAAATCAATTAAATTTTTTTTTTTCATCCCGTACCCCTCCCCTCCCCTCACCCCCGTGTCCTTTCCGTGGGTGATCATCGCGTGATGATGATGATGATTATACCGAAATCGGACCTCGAAACGATTCGTTTATGACGCGTATGGTCGCGATTGGGGTAGGCGGGAAATTTTTTTTGTTTGTAAACATTAAAAAAAAAAAAAAACTAAAGAAAATGAGAAAATAGGGGGTTGAAAAAATCATCATTATCATGAAAATCAATCCATTGAATTTTTCCTTTTTCATCCATACACATACTTCACATCATCATCATCATCATCTTCGTAATTTTAATTTTTCAAAGGAAAGTGTAAAAACAAAAACGCCTAAACAAACGAAACGATTTTCTCTCTCTATCATTTTCCTGTTCGAAACACGACAAACAAACTCAAACAAACAAACAAACAAAACGCAACAACAAACAATCGAATAAATAAATCGAAACATAAGAAAAAATAACGCAAGCAAATTTTTAAATTTTTCAAACGGCCATTTTTTTTTTTTTTTTTTTTTTACAAAATTTAAATGTTAACCGCCGCCCGTGTATTTAGAATAAAATTCGTGATTTTAAATCACTCGAATAATTAACACAACACGTAAGTAACGTGGAAGTAGAGAGAGAGAGAGAGAAAAAACTTTTTCTTTTACACAATCGGGTAGTCTTTTATACAACCACAAAAAAAAAAAAAAACCTACTTTTAAACATTTCAATAATAATAATAATAATAATAATAATAAGATAAAACATTATTTCACTTAACGACACACACACACACACACACACACACATCATAGTTGGCAACGAACGAATTTGTTCCTATTAGACAAAAGGTCGTTAACATTAAAAAAAAAAATAACCGAAATTATTTAATTGCACGCCATCGATTTAGGCTAATTATAATTTTATAACGTGTGTGTGCGTGAGCGAGTGAGTGCGTTTGCGTGTGCGTGAGTGCGTGTACGAAAATTAAATGTTACGACGTGATATTAAAATTACCGTTGATCGTCTTATGTAATAAAATAAAAAAATACAAACGCACGCACGCATGCACGCACGCACGCCGGCTAATACGCCGCGTGTTTAATTTAACCGTATAAAAAATTACATTTCCTCGTGTTTATTATTATTATTATTATTATTATTATTATTAAGAACCGATTATCGGTGAATGTTTTACGTAAGTTCAACCGTGAGAGACACCTACAACTTTGCTTAACGTACCTAAAACAACCGAGAATCGATGATGATGATGATTGTGTTGGTGGTTTTAAAATGACGAACGTTTCGCATATGAAAATGCATGTGTGCGTGCGTGCGTGCGTGACGATCATACGCATCGTACGCGCGTGTGTGCACGCATACACACATATTTATACATATATATTTAATGCATTCAAATCGTTTTAAACGTAGGAGTTTTAAAAGAAGTTTAAACAGGATTGAAAATGTTGATCGGTGGCGGCGGCGGTGGTGGTGGTGGCGGTGGCGATGGCGGATGGTGAAATGATGGCCGATTCGTTGTTTTTTTTTTTTATTACTCGGTCGGTCGGTAATAATATTAATAAAATAAAAAAATTACATAATTTTTTTTTATGTAAAAAAAAATAAAATAAGTCGAGAATGATGGAGTAGAAAATTTTTCGTTCGAATTATTATTATTATTATCATTATCAATAATAATAATTTTTTTTTCTTTTTCTTTAAGTTCGAAAAAAAAGAAAAAACGACCGAAAGAGAGAAGGAGAGAGAGAGAGAAAAACGAGTTTTAAATGCGGTGAATAGTTTTAGGCCACGTTTTATGCCAGAAGGTGGCACGGTTTTTTTTTTTTATTTTACACGATTTCGATGAAAAGCCCGTTTTCGGTAAGGAGAAAAGTGGTAGAAGAATAATAGACCAACGAATACGATAAACTATAATACGATCGTCGTGTCACGAGAATAAAAATTATGTTCGTTTTGTAAAAATAAAATTCGATGATGATTCGATTGCTACCGTGACTATGATTCTGGTTTGTTGGTAGACGGGTACCATTTTTCATTAAGAATGGCATTTTGAGTTGTGAGGGAGACAAGTTAAGAAGCAGAAGAAAAAAAAATTTTTTTTAAAGAGACTTACCGAGCTCTGTCTGAAAAGAAATCCACTTTTGAATTTTTCTTTTTTCCAATCATTCCGTTCGAACCCGAACTGCTTCCGGAATGAGCGGGTGACACGCTCGTTTCCGATGAGGACACGGGCGGACTAGCCGATCCGTTCGAACTGCTCAAACTTCCCGTTCTTCCGCGGCTCAAATCGGTTCCCCCCATCATTCCGTTATCTCCGTTTTTACCATTGTGATTGTTCGAATTGGCCGAATTGTGAGCGGATATAGACAGCGTCGGTCTCAGACTTTTGTTTCTGTTTTTCTTTTTCTTTTTGTTTTCCGCGTTGTCGTTGTCGAACCGCCTTTGATTTTGATTCGGCGGAGGTGTCCAATCCAAATCCTTTTTCAAATGTCCTCTTCCGCACTTGCAACCGCACGCTTTGAATGCGAGATCGTAACCTTTTTTCGTCCAAAGATTCTGGTGTCTCTGCCTTTCCGACCATGATTTGGCTCGTCCGCATGATTTCAAATACGTGAGAACGGCTTGCTCCCACGATTCGAAACATTCTCGGTGCATGTACTTCCCAACCGTGCACTGTTCGTTATTGCATATGACTCGTACGACGTCGTGAAGATCGTCTAACCGTATGTTCGGATCGGTATCCAAACCGGAAACGCTAGTATTATTCTCTTTCAAACACTCGGTGGGACACGCGCATTTGGACAAGTTACCGTTCGCTTGATCCCCGTGCTCTCCGTCCAGGGTTAAATTATATCCGGGGATTTCGACATAGTTTCCAATGTACAATCCGCCGTTTCCGGCGCCTTGGCCTTGACCTTGGCCGTGACCGTGATTACCTCTACGCGGCGCCATTTATTATTCCAAAAAAAAAAAAGAGTTCACAAAAATAAACCAAAAAAACTCACGATACGAGTGACGCGTTGCTTCTCGAAAAGGAAAAAAAAAAAAAAGGAAAAAAAGGAAAACAAGGAAAAAAAAAAAAAGAGAAAAAAATTTCCGTTTCGACTCGTGGAAAAAAAATGAATGTCAAGATCAAGGGCGATCAGACTGTCTCACTCGCACGAAAATCGTTATTCTCACCCTCGTGAACGCAGAAACCTTTTCCGGAAAAGCTTTCGACATTCGAACACAACAACGCACAAAAAAAAAAAAAAATAACAAAAAAAATCTTCTCGTTTTCTTTTTTCTTTCTTCTTCCACGTTTTTTTTTTTTTTTTTTTTAAATCGTTCTCGATCACATGAGCTACATTTTCACTTTGTTTTCAATTCACGTGCGTGTATATTATTATTATTTTTTTTTTGTTTTTCTCCCATTCGTTTGTGGGCAACAGCAGACGAAAATTATAATTATTATTATTATTCTTCTTTTGTTTTTTGTTTTTTTTTTTTAACGTTTTATACTTTTATTTTGTACTTTTTTTTTTCAAAAAGTTTTGTCTTTTTCGAATTGTACTTTTCCTTTTTTTTTTCTTTAAAGACTTTCGTCATTCCACATTAAAATTACATTTTTTTTTTGGTTGTTTTTGTTTTTGTTATTGTTGATGTTGTTGTTGTTGTTGTATATGAGTTTGTACTTCTTGTTTTCACATTAAGGCATTAAATTCCTTTGTATCATTCGTTTTATCACTTTTATATGAGCATCTAAAAATAAAAATAATTGAAAAATTAAATTCAATCGGACAACAATCGCCCCTCCCTCCATCCCCCCCCCGAAAAAAAATAATAAGGCAAACACACAAAAAACATTTATTTTTTTTGTGGGGGGAGAGGAGAGAGAGGAGGCGGCGAAAAATTATTCGATACAAAATTTTTATTTGCTTTCAAGTCGAAGAAAAAAATAAGTAAACATTTAACTTTCTGACAAATTTTACTCTCTTCTTTTTTTCTTTCCTCTTTCGTTTCTTATACTCGCGCATCTCACATTATTCTTATCAATATTTTTTATTAGCACACGCATTTACGCACACGCACGCACGCACGCACATACACACAAACTTGAACTCTAAGAAATTCTTCTTCTTTTTATTTAAAAAAATCAATTCAAAAAAAAAAAAAAAAAAAAATTAACGCCAAGAAAATAATAAAAAGAAAAGAAAGAGAGAGAGAGATAGAGAGAGAGACAAAAAGAGAGAGATGAGGAGAGAGAGAAAGAAAGAGAGAAAGAGAGAGATTCTGACATTCGATCAAACATCAAATATTTGACTTAAAATTTTTTTTTTTTTTTGTTCGTTTCGTCGTCTTCGTCATGAACACACACACACACACACACACACATGTTTTGGAAGGGCAACATAATCACACAAAACAACCACACACGATCTCTTTTTTTTTTTTGGATCCGAAAGGGATGACGATTGCGGTGGTGGTAGTGGTGGTGGGGGGTAGTAATAATAATAATAAATTAATAATAATGATGATATTAATAATAATCATCTCGTGAACTTCAATTTTCATCGTTTTAACAAATTCAAAATGATAATAATAATAATAATAAATTTTAAAAAAAAGAAATTAATTCTTTAAAACTCGTTCAAATCGGATGTTAATAAATAATAATAATAATAATAATAATAATAATAATAATAATAATAACGAATTCGTTACACACGAAGACGAACTCAAGGTTAGCGACAAACTCCTCTGAACACACATTTGAAAAACAACAAAAAAAAAAAAAAAACTTTGCGTAGGAGGATATAAAAATTCTTAAAAATACATTTAACAAAAAAAATAATCTCGAAATACAATAATAATAATAATAATAAAATCGGTGACCTACAAGAAAACTGCCTAAATGTGTCTACTACTACCACTACCACCACCGTCACCACCACCACCACCACCAGTCAATCGAAGTTGATCTCGTTTTGTGTGTGTGCGTGAGTGCGTGAGTGCGTGTGACCGAGAGAAAAGTTTTGAGCGTTTCATACTACTCTCCGTTCACTCGTTATTTATTTATTTCGAGATTAATTTCTTTTATCCAGTTTTTTTTAAAACTGGAGCCACATAATTATTAATATACGAAAATGATTTTCTAAAGTTTCTACAATTACTACTACCTCCCCATTAATATTTTTTTTTTCGAGGGAAGAACGAGAGAGAGAGAGAGAAATAAAACCGATAATGTACCTCTACCTCTCTACGTGTTCTGCTATTATTATTATTATTATTATTATTATTATTATTATTAAATTTAAAAAAAAAATAACTCGATAATCGAAATTTGAAAACAAATATAAATAATATAGAAAATAATTTTTTTCGATTCGCGAATCACATTTTTCACGTCGTCGTACAAACAGAAAAAAATAAACGATCTTTTCACTGATGATAATAATAATAATAATAATAATTTGAGTAATTTTAATCAATTTAAAGGAAAACCGCACGAAAACGATTTCGTATAAATAAAAATAATAATAATGATGATAACGAATAGAAAAAAAAAAAAAAAAAAAAAAAATTGGAAAAATATTTCTCCCAACGGCCGGGAGTAAATTAAACGCATTCTTTGAAATAAACCTCCCCCCTAAAAAAAAAAAAAAAAATAAATTTTTTTGGAACGAGGGTGACGGGAAAAAAGAAAAGAGGGGGGGGAAGTGACAAAAGCAAAACATTTTTCCTTATAAACTTACGACTTACGGACTATTCTAAAAGAGAGACTACAAATAAATATCAAAAACAAAATGCCGGTCGGCCCGTTTTTCCTATCATCCTTCATTATTATTATTATTATTATCACCCGAGTAAAATACCAAAAAAAAAAAAAAAAAATCGAGATTTCGTATTTTCGATATATCGATATATCGAAAACTAATCGAATCGTATTCGAAACATAAAAAAAAAAAAAACGACACGCCTGCAAATTTATAATTCAAAAATTAAAATCAAACGATCGTTATTTTTTTTTTTTTTCAAATTTCGATTCATGTTAAAAATAATAATAATAATAATATAAATTAACTTCTAAATATAAAAATATTAATAATAATAATAATACTAATAATAAAAAAAAAAAAAAAAAACAAACAAATTCTTACGAAAAAAAAATTCTTCGATGTAAATTCTTAAGTAACGATTTTTTTTTTTTCCTCCACAACGACAAAGACAAAAAAAAAATTCCAATTCTTTTTCTCGACAATAATAATAATAATAATAGATTAGTTATTATTAGTAGTACGTATTTTATTAATAATAATAATAATGCCGGTTCGTATTCATTCGTATATAAAATAATAATTTCGAGAGAGAAAAAAAACAAAAACAAAACAAAACAAAAATCACGAAGAATTTGTCCTTCTCCTCCTCCTCCTGTTGTTGTTGTTGTTTTATATTTAACGTACAAAAACAAACGTTACGAAATAATTAATTAATTATTAAACCGTCTTATTAATTATTTTAAATAGCATAGCAAGTTTTAAAAGTTTAAGTTAATAAAAAAAAAAAATTGTTTTTCTTTTTTTTTAAAAACAATCCAATTCAAAACACTCGGGCAAAAATTTATATATTTACGATAAAAGAAACTACTAGTAATAATAATAATAATTAAATTTAAAAAAAAAAAAAAAAAAAACAAAAATAAAAAAAATAAAAACAAACAAACAAACAAACAACAACTCAACGGTTAATAATAACTAAACACTCAGGAAATGTAACGAGTGAACTGAAAGGGAAATGCATGCGGCCGACGTACAAAACACGCTGCCGGCAAATTCAATCCCCAGACTGCGCTTGCGTCGATTTTTTTTAATATATATACGCGTACTCTCACTCATTCAACCTAAGAAAAACTATTATTTTCATATTTAACTTATTTTATAAATAAATCAAATTATATTTCGACGAAAAGAAAATTTTCCTTTTTTTCTTTTAGTTCGAATGAATTTACTGTTTTGTTTTTTTTTTAAAACAATAAAGCGCGATCATGGATGAACAGGTTTTAAAATTGTTCAGAACGTATAAATTCCGATAGAGTAAAAAATTTTTTTACTCTATGAAATTATAATCGGATTTTTTTAAAAAAATAATTAACAAGGCGGTGCATCGTGATGCATAAAATACAAGCGCACACACACATTTACGCACGCACGAACGCACGAACGCACGAACGCATATAACGAAAACGTAACGAATCTATCCTCTTAATCATCAATTTAAAAAGCAGACGACGAGATTTGTTAAATGTTTTTTTTTTTTTTTTGTAACGGTCGTTTTTCTAATTTAAAAAAAAAATAATAATAATTTGATAATGACTTTTTGTAAAGAGAGCAAAAAAAAAAAAAAAAAACGTCGGAGGTCGTCTAAAAAAAAAAAACATTAAAATAAACGAAAACTAACATGGTTGCCAATATATAAAAAAAAAAAAAATTTATGATTTAACCTAAATAATAATTATAATACAGTTAAATTATTCGATGATCGTTTCTTTTCGCTTATAAAAAAACAGAAAAAATACCGCGAAAATTTAAAAAAAAAATTATCACGCTCGCGTTCACGCACGTGGAAATAGAAATATAAAATTTTCCAAAAAAAAAAAAAATTTAAATTCGTTATCATTATTATTATTATTTATGTATGTGACGACGTTGTTGTTGTTGTTTTAAAAAAAAATTTGCTTTTAGTTATTGATGCCAATTTACAAAAATTAAATTTCTATTTATTCATTTGTTTATTAATTTTTTTTAATGAAAGAAATCCATTTATCCTTTTTCTATAATTTATTATTATTATTATTATTATTATTTAAGACTTTCCCACCCTTCCCCCCCCCCCGGAAAAAATCAAAGTTTATTATTTTTAAAATGTTGCAAAATTTTGTTTGTTTTATCATCGTTTTTAAGGAAAATGTTGCA